GGCCCCCGAGCAGTTCCATCGGCCGGGCTGCCGCCGGCGGACTGGGCGGATCCCGGGAAGGCCCAGAAGCCTTCCAGCCCCAAAGCACAGACCGGTCGGGGTCTTCATTCTGGGCCTGTCCAGGAGCCTCCCAGCACAGCCCTGCCCAGCCCAGCCTGGTGCTGAGCAGCTGGGAGGGCAGGAGGTTAGCGCTGCTGGAGAGAGGAGACCCTACTGGGAAGGAAGGCTGGAAGGGCTCTGGGTTTCCCTGAAGAAGAGACTCCCTAACTACAAGGCACATCCTGGCTGGGGCTGCTTCTCCCGTGGGCAGCGCAGACAGCTGCCCTTGGGAAGGTGGCTGTGCCAGGGCTGCCTCCCCCAACCCAGAGAGCCTCCCTGTGGGATCACAGCCGTCTGCAGCCAGGGTGTGGGGGGGGACCAGGAGAGGAGGGTCTCCACCAAACTTCCATCTCAGCCCCTCTCCTCGCCCTGGCCTTCAGGAGGGATGACACTGGCCCCGTAGGGGATCTACATAGAAGAGTCCCAGGGGACTCCCCCTTTCCCTTGTGGGGATGCATCCCTGCAGGGATGAGGAAAGCGTCAAGGAAAAAAAAAATAATAACCCCTCTCCTCCATTCCCAAAATCCACATTCCTCATGGTCTAACAGTTCTTAAGCCATATCCCACTCTGTCCCCAAGTTCCCACAGAAACATCCTTCCCTCTATCCTAGTTCCCAGGGCCACATCCCTCCCGCACACACAGTTCTGCAGCAATGAGCGAACCAGCGAAAGGCAGCCCTTTCCAAAGTAGGAGCTCCAAGCCCCAAGACCATTATCCACGCAGCAGCGCAGTGTCCTGGCACTACTACTGACATCACCTCAGCACAGACAGGCCAGCATCCCTCCACCAGAAGAGAGGCTCCCGGCTGGCGGCTCAGGGAGATGCTATGCGCTGGACGACGTCCCCAAGGCAGCCTTCAAAACCGCTCACGCTCTCTGCAGGTCCCCACACGGTGCCAGAGTAAGGCATTGCTCATGCTACAGGGGGAGATGGGAGCCTGCGAGCCTCGGCCTGCACCTGCAACCCACAGGGGTTCAGCCCCAGGGCAGGAGGGAAGAGCGCTGCCGCCCATCGAGAGGGCTGCACAGGAGACATCGTCCGCATGCCTCCACCTGGGCAGGCTGTGAGTCTGTCTGTGCTGCACGGAACGTCAAGAGAGGCAATTTGGGGTTGCCCTGTGGAGCTGGACCACTTAGGAGCCATGCAAGCAGATGCTTGCACCCGGGCTTCAGCAGCTTGCCAAGTGGAGGAGGGAGCAGCTAAGTGTCCAGTGTTCAGCAAGGGCCTCCTCTGTCCCTTTTCCCTTTTCCCATTTCCCTTTTCCCTTTTCTCTCCTAAAGAAGGCAGCCCTTTCCGAAGTAGGAGCTCCAAGCCCCAAGACCATTATCCACGCAGCAGCGCAGTGTCCTGGCACTACTACTGACATCACCTCAGCACAGGGGCGGCAGCAGCAGCAAGGTTTCACAGCTGGTTTAGCTTCAGAAGTTCAGCTTGAGCAGTTTGTGTCCGAGGGCCATAAGCCTGGCAATGCAAATGGAGCATTTTATGCAAGCCCACAGAAATGCTACCATCTGCAGCCTGGCCAAGTCACTCCACCTGGCAGGAGGCAATAGTCAGCTTCTCTTAGAGAAACCTATCAAGGTAGATGTATTGCTTGCATGCAAGGCTCCTTCATACTGCAAAGCCAATTTTGATCAAGTATAGGACCACATACGAGCAGTCAGCTCCCATCTTCCTTTCCCCACCCCTGGATCCCTTACATAGGTAGCACAGCACAGGGTTTAGTCTGTATGCAACGCTGCCAGGAGCCCCTCAGCCACCCCACTTAGACAAGGGCTCTCAGGGGTGCTAGAGGACACAGGCCAAGCTCTTGCAGAAAGACCTAGCTCCTTTCTTAGAGAGCAGCATTGCTCCCACCACCCAGCTTTTCCTAACAACTGAATATTTCCATGGACAGACTCCTCCTTTCAAGCCCAGCAAGAGTTCAAGGTAGCCTTGCTTCTGCCTCCCTCAGCTACCCCATCAGGGCCTGACGAGCCAGGGCCACATAACAGTGACAACTCCATTAGCCATCGCTGTCAACCTGTACCTGGTGTGGAAGCAGAATTAAATTCTTTCAGATTAGGATAGTAATCAAATCAGTTTAATATATAGTCAACACATTGTAAAGGCATCCGAATCCTACAGTATTGCTATCAGCTGTGGCCATCAAACCCAAGAGACCACCTTTCTAAAAAGGCACAGAGAGGTAGGAGAGTTGGGGCATTTCCCCAGATTAGTTGCAAGTGAGAACGTGGGACCTTCATCCTGGAGGCCCAAGATAACCAGAAACTTGTGCTTTTTGAAAGGAATGCTAACATGCTGGGACAAGTACAGGCACCTGTAGTAACAGCCAAGGCCTCCTGCTGACCAACGAGTCAAGAAACTCTTGCTGGCTTTTGCCTATACTAAAAGAAAAAAGATTTAAAAGAAAGGAGGTGGACAGAAGAGCCTGGCTCTGTGAGTGTGAAGGGTATTCGGTGAAGCAGGAGTAAGAAAGATGCATAAGGTTGCTTTTGCCCTTGGCCAGGGACAAGGACTGTTATTTGCCTTGCTTTGGATTCTGTTACCACCCCAGGGGTGAGTGAGAAGAAACCTGTTCTCCGGTATTGCCACCATGTTTTCCTGCACCAGCAGAGCAAGAGCAACGCTCTGGAGCAAACCAAGCATCTGGAGTGGGGACAACGGTGTTGCCAAGCATTTGGCTCATCTTCTGTGGCAGTTGAAGCAGGAAGAGGCACCACAGTGGTCTCCTTGGGGCGGGGGAAGCATGGAGTCCTGTGGCTCTGTGGGAAGGCACTGTTCACTGGGGTGGGCAGGTCCAGAGGTGCTAATTCTCAAATTTTGCATAAGGGTTCTCTTCCTTGAACAGGCCTAGAAGAGAAGAGAAATTCATTCAGACAGCAGCAGCCACGCCAGTCACAGCCAGCAAGAAATCTAGTTCTTGGTTACAACTCTGTCATTCGTGCTTCATCCAGCCTCCTGTCCTGCAGTCCTTCCAAAAGACCTGCTCTTACTCGAGCCATACATGCTGTCAGCCCTATTTCACTCTCCTCCTCTGCACAGGAGGAGAGATCCATTAAGAAGTTCGACATGATGGCAAACTCCTCTCCCAGACACTCCATAAAAAGTCCCAGTAAAGCAGCATGACTGATCTTCCAGAGCACCCCTTCTGCATGCTCCTTCTCTTGGACTGGACGCAGAAGCAGAGCGCCCCGAATTAAATTCAAGCCATTCTTAGACCTGCTCCCGAATCCTACATCCACAGACTGAGAGACAGCAGGGCAAGGATACAGGGCTGACTTCTGGGCCAGTGACAAGACCCCGTGCCACTCTGTTGGCTGCTTTCTCAGCCCCAGCCCAACACTTCTGGGGAGGAACAGCCAGAAACGACAAGATTGCAAACTCTCTGGTCAGACTGCAGCAAAGCAGACCCCTGGCTTGGCAAGATAATCCTGGAGCATGGCTCTTCCACAAGATGCCTTCCCCACCAAGTGTTACTTCTGGCACAGCTTTGCCTACTCTTCCTCCCCCAGAGGAGCCAGCTCAGCCAGAGACCCCCAGATCTCCTGCCCAACCTGGAACTGCAGCAGGCAGCAGCTGCTGGCAGAGGAAAGGTCTCCAGCTTTCCCTGCAGCCTCCCCCGCCCCCCCCAGAGCCAGAGACCACTATGCTTGGTGTGCATGAGCCCAACTGCTCCCTGCTCTGCAGCCTCCCTTGGAGAGTCCCCAGCAGCCCTGACAGCCAGGCAGGAGAGACCCCTCCACCACCTCTGAGCAACTGGCTGCTCCCTGCTTCTTTCCAGGCTGCTGTCCCCTTCAGGCAAGTCCCCACCTGCCCTGGGGCCATGGGACTCACCTGCAGGACAGTCCAGCCCCAGGAGGGAGGCTGTGCACTCCCAGAACCCAGGGGACTGAGCTACCTCTCCAGGAACCATGGCCAGCACAGAGGATCGGCTCCATGGTTGAGCTGGTGCCTGCTCTGTGCTCCTGCGCTGTGGGCATCCGGGCTCCCACCTGGCCCCTGACCTTGGGCTGCTGGCTACTTGGTGACCTCCCCTCCAGTCAAGCTCCAGCAGCTTCTCACATGTGGTGAGTTCAGAGGACAAAGGTCCCAGGAAGTGTTAAACACTACCTCTTCCCTGCCCAAGAGGAGCAGCACTTGTGTGGGGTCACACGACATGACCAGAGCATCTCTACTCTTGCTCCCAGACGGCAAGAGAGCAATTCACTGAGACAGGGGAAGCGGAGACTGTTTTCCCTGCTGGCCAGGTCTCCTCTGCAGCTGTAACCATAGCAAGGAACACAGTTACTGAGGCTGCTCGATCTAAAGCTTAGTTTGAATCACTTGCGTCAGCACTGTACCATATTTTCTTCGGATTTCATCATGCCGTGATTTCATCTCTGCTCTCCTGCAAGAAGCAAACAGAAACCACAAATCAGTGACTGGCGATACAAAACCAAACAAGAGGAGCTCCAGCTCCTTGCTTCTTCCCAACCCAGGGAACTCCAGGCTGCCAGGTTTGCTCAGCCCCTGCCGCCCACCTCCCCACCTCCTAGAGGCACCGGGGACCACCAGAACCCACACACATCAGCAGCCCTTGAGGAGTCAGGCACACAACACCGTTGTGATGCTGCATCCACGAGTCACCCCAGAAAGACATTGCTCGTGAGGTTTATGTTCATTCTGAGCTTGAAGCAGCCACTGGCTGCATGTGTCAAGCCCCACATGCTTCCTGGCATCATGTTTGACTGTACAGACAGGAGCCAAACCGTTCTGCAGCCTGAGGCAGTGTGGCTCACTGACACAGGAGCAGTGGCTGCGGGGCAACCTCACCTCTCCTCCTGTCGCACCCGCCTCTTCTCCCGCTCCCTGGCCGCTCTCTCGTCATCCTTGTCTGGCCTGACAAACAGAAGAGCCCATTAGTGGCACTCGGCACTCATTTCTGCAACAGCAAGTGGTTGCATCTGAGCTACTCCGAGAAAACAAGGAACCCTTCCGATACTTGCTTTTTGCTCTTTTTCTTACAACAGCAGCAGCAGCAGCAGACCCCCACCATGATAAGGATCGTTCCTCCCACCACAGACATCGCAATGATGAGGGCTTCGAAGTTCACTAAAGGATTCGACAAAACACATTTAGCACACAAATACATGGCTGCCTGGAGTAACTACATTTACAGCATACAGCTACTGTCACCAGCAGCTTCCGTCACTGGGCTGGAGACATGCGTAACAGCCTGGGAAAGCAAGATGGACATTGTTATCTATAGGTATACCAAGTGTTGGCACCAGGACGTACACACCAACAGAGTATATGTAGCTGCTAACTACAGCATTCAGGTACTGGCTATGAAGAAAGGCAAGAACAAATGTACTCAGGTCAAACTCCTCCTGCAGAAACAGAAGCAAAGCAGTCTTAATCACTAATCCAGGCGAACAGTAACCCATCAAGGGAAAAAAAAAAAATGGAGGCTTCAGTGCTGAGGAGCAACCTCCAACAGAGAGGCCACAGCTGACACTGGAGTTACTGCCCACAGGACCGAGCCTCAGAAGCCATCTAAGATGAGATGACAGTGGACTGGAGGCACTTATGGGTGTCTGGAGTCCTTGGGCAAGACACAAAGCGGGACAAGATCCATTGGGATTTATCAGCTTGGGGCCAGCAGTGCTGCTGAAGCAGCTGAAGGCAGAGGGCTGCTTCATTCACTCCACCACCACGTCTCCCCAGGGCTTGGGGGATCTGCTTGCCCATGCACAGCGCAAAACCCGTTGGGATGCGGTGGTGAAGCAGCGGCCTTGAGCCCTGGCCCCAGCGAGGCAGTCATCCTACTCTACTCCTGCAGTAATAACAGTAGAAACACCAGCCAAAACGGACATATCTAGACATCACCTAAAATCCTTTGCCCCAAAGAGGGGTTTCTTCCAAGTATGATTCAGACTCTTCAGAGACTTGGGCCTATGGAAATATTTGTTTAGGACCCACTTCGCACACAGCAGCCAAGTTACAGAAATCCTAATGCACCTGAGCCTTCTCAGACCACTTCTGATCCCCTC